TCCCATAAGATTTGTTGCACTCGGCAATATTCCAGCTATATGGCCACAGCCTGTAAATAATTTAATCTGGACCAGACAATCCAGTGATCAACACCATGAGCATCGATCTACGCAATTAGGATACGATGACATGCCTCAACCAAATCATTGAGCCTGACCACCCGATCCCGTTAGTCGCCTCTCACGACAAGCATGGGTTGATGAAGGCCACCCACACCCTCCACGTTTCATGGTTCCACGTAAAGGATTTGTCAGTAAAAGATAAATCCTTGAAGTCAACACAAATACTTGAAGAACATACTCTTCAGTTGGAAACCGCCCGATAGGCAATCTGTCAATGTTGCAAACGAATATTAATGCTACACCACATTTAAACGTGATAGTTTCCTTTAAAGCAAAGTACATTGATTCATAAATTAATGTCAGTCGCCTCTTACGACAAGACCCATTCTGACAGGGAACTTAACGGGTGATTCCCACAAGAAAGATGCATTGGGATAGATAGTTCTTCGACCTTATGTTCTGAGATTATATCTATTGATACAAAATGAGATATGTACCAAAATAACAGCGAGTGATTGAGTTTAGTTTTTTTATGTCGCTTTTAGCAATATTTCAGCAATATCACGGCGGGGGACACCAGACATGGGCTTCACACATTGTGCCTGGGACATCGGACCCGGGTCTTAGGCGTGACGAGCGAACGCTTTAACCACTAGGCTACCCCACCGCCCCACCAAAAGTTGTGAAGATTAATACTTCAACTGAAATTACTTCGATTTTTAGATTAATGGCCTCAAATGAAATAAAAGATTCCCCGTCATATATATTTAGAGAGAAATTCAGTGTTTAATGTCACTCCATTACCAAGCGCATACGAAATTATCATCTAGTTTATCGCGGTCAAAATGTTCAGATACTTATCTGGTTATTCATCATATCGAGGTCTTACATCTTTAATGCTAATGCTTAAGAACATGATACATATCATATCATGTATCTTATTACAGCCCATCTTCACTCAAGTTGTGGCCCGGTTGCAGCAGCACAAAGCTATCTTAGTGCTAAGGTAACCGTAACCCGTACACCTTATCACAGACTTCTATATCCGCAGCATAGTCTCTCATACAGACCCTGAACCGCCTCCGTGGTGTAGTGGTTAGAGCGTCCGCCCGGAGAGCATTCGACATTAATGGGTACAACAAGGACTGGTCGGCTCGGAGTCAGTATAATGTGTCTGAGTGGGATATTCATGCTTCTCTGCGGCGTGGTATCTCAGTGGGCTAGCACTATAAAATCAGTTTAAGTCTGGGCTAGTACAAGCAGCCGCACATACACATACACACACGCATGCACGTCGTCATATGAGCGAAATATTCTCAAGCACGACGTTAAACCCAATTTCACCTCACCTCACCTCACCTCACCTCATACAGACCCTGAAACAAATATATCCAAGAAAGCCCATGCAAGTGTAGAATATGTGGCAAATCTAGATTTCTGAAATGGAAGAAAGTCTCTGGGTTCCTTATCATTATGTTTTATAATTATTTGCTATGAACATTTTTTTTCTGTAAAATATGTTCATTTCAGAGACTAGATGTTAGTCTAGCCGTAGCGCTATGATTACTTTACGCAACGGGGCCCAGATGATGTACTCCGGTGCGGTTCTCGCAGGGCTATGATCTGAGGGCACCTCCAAAAAATATTGCATCAGATGTACTCTGAGCGAGCATTGACCGCACCCAAAATAAGGCCCCGTGCGTTTTTGAGCCAATCAGCTTTTAGCTGCCTAAAACGAAGCGGCTTCATGGTTTTACCTCCATATGGGCATATTAAGCCAAATGTAAAGCTACACATACTGTCCATCATTCGATAGTGCTTCCTTGTGGGTCTAAAAAGATGGCGCTCAGAAACGACAGGCTATATGAAATATCCACAGTATGATGGCACAGATATAAATTTTTGCAGTTCTGTATTTTTTTAATCCAGTGATACTTTTTGAAAATACAGAAATCAAACAACCGCCTGTACTTTTTCTCAAAATACAGCAATCAAACACCAGTTTGAATGCTCCGTTCACTCGTACCGAGACTTTACAAGCAGCGATTAGAAACCTCAGCTGACATGGCCTCTGGACATTTGTCCTTAAATCTCAACACGTATCGGTGTAAAATGATTTAATGGGATTGATCTCAGCCTCGCTCTCTAGATATGTGCTTTTGTATAGAAGTAGATCCGTATCGTGTCGTGACCTCACTAACTTGATAACAGACTATCCCCTGAATTACAGTCAGAGCCGGAAAATGGCACTATAAACCAATGTGTGCTAGACTGGTTTCCTGGTGTTAACCACTGCGCTCCCTGCGTATGTCATACTGTACGCTGCAGCGAGGGAAACGGGAGACGTGACCCAGTTGCAACTTGTAGACTTACATTCGTCTTAATCTAATTTACAATCGCATGAGCTGAGGAATGTGGAAGTGTGCGAGGAGACCTTGATGCCACGAGCTTGAGCATTATATCCATCAAAGGCGAGCAATATGTTAGACACCTGAGCGTGTACCAACGTGATCTCTATGAGAGGAGACTGAAAACTTGCTCACGGGAGATTGTCAAGGTCATGCGTTTTTAAATAACTAATTCCCTGGTTCCCGAGCATTGTCAGGTAAATAATACATCTTAAAAACAACGATATTTTTGGTAATAACCAAGGGGAAGGTTTCAAAGGAAGACCACGACTTCACAGATATATCCACAACCATGCATCCAGGTTCAACTAAAGCATTTCGACGTATTTTGTTTGTTTGATTTCAAAACGGAACTCACCAATATCTTAACAGCGACCAGACCATCCTGTGGTTGATATTAAGAGCAAAGATTCACACAGTCGATGTACAAGCATTAAAACAGTGACCGAGCCTATTGTTTGTTGGTTTATATCGGCAATATTCCAGCTATATGGCGGCGGTAAGTGAATAATCGAGTCCGGACCAGACAATCCAGTGATCAACACAATGAGAATCGATCTACGTAATTGGGATACGATGACATGTCAACAAGTCAGCGAGCCTGACCACCCGATCCCGTAAGTCGCTTATTACGACAAGCATGGGTTGCTGAAGATCATTTCTAAACCAGATCTCCACGGGTTGACCGAACCTGAAAAGCCTCATTCATTCAATCACCTCTTACAACCTGTAAAGTGTCCTAGGAACAAGCTCTACCCCGGACGCCGAGAAGGGCTTTAACAGATTCCTTAACTGAAAAACTCTACTGAGAGAAGTTGAGATTGTTGAGTGTATTAAGCCACGTTCTATCTCAGGGGACCCGTGAAGGTCCGGGTTAGAATGGACCTTCAGTAACCCATGCTTGTAAGATGCGACTAACGGGATCGGGTGGTCAGGCTTGGTTGACATATCATATGTCATCGGTTCCCAATTGCGCAGATCGATGCTCATGATGTTGATCACTGGACTGTCTAGTCCAGACTCGATTATTTACAGACCGCCGCCATATATAGCTGGAATATTGCTGAGTGCGGCGTAAAACTTAACTCACTCACACTCTATCTCAGGTAACAGCCATATCTTGCTGTGGATTGTGGTTTTCGGAGCTACACAGTTGCACAGGGGCATTAACTGATACGGGCAGCACAAGAAATGTTGGTCTATTGCTGGGTCAATGTTACGGTAGCATCACCAACTGATAGTTGAGATAGCCATGAGTATCACGACCCACTGTTCGAGTGTTAGTTATTCACGGTGCATAGACACCGTAGTCCTTTAAGTATGTCAGACATTCCGCTAACCGATGCTTTGGTGGGTGTGTCGATGATGATAAGCATTTATACGTTTGTGGTAATTATTACAGGTGTGTAGTCCCAGCGAAGGTGTAGAAAATGTTTGTATTTTCACGATTAAGGTAAGTGTTTACACCATGACGTCATGATATAAACGTCTGAAACAGTTTTGCCTAATGAATCTCAGAAAACATTAATCAGCTGTGAAATATGAATCGTGTTCTAATATCACGAAAGAGGATGTATGTTCCTCCGGGTTTCGACGCAGTTCAAATGTTCAAACGGGTAGATCGTGTACCAGTATATCAGGGTAGTCAAAAATAACCGGGTTAGTGACGTCACGCCGAGACCCACCACTCCAAACGTAGTAGTCCATTGAATCACGAATTCAAAACCGTCTTGAGGACGTAATGATGATAAGCGAATGTTTAAGAAAACAATATAACAATGTGTTTTGTTTCCCATAGTTTATGCTTACCTTAACCAAGACTAGAAGTGGAGCAAGTTTACACATTACGGGTGTATATAGGGATTGAAACAGTTAAAGGAGTTAAAAGAAGTGTCAAGTTTAAAATTTAAAGAATTTTTAAGCTAGGAGCGTTAACCTGTTTCGTTTGAGGAGTGACCTCTGGTATTCAAATTTAAGTCAGTTGAATCATCGCACGTCTTCGCTAAAGGTTGTTGATGATGATGATGATGATAATTATGACGAGTAACCATCATGAATAATGGCAGTGATCATAACAATCGTTATGTTCGTTTTTATATTTAGTTTACTTATACACATCATAATTATGTTTTCAATATGATATATTGTCATGTTATAAGACATTTAATGTAACCATATATTGAGAAAACAATATCTTATATGAAATCCCAGACATGTCAATTCCGATAAAACGCATAATTTTGGACCATATTCAAAATTCCGATTAAATGTCGTCACGAGACAAGCCTGGTTATGAATACACCAAAAATGCTGAATTTGAAAATAAAACGTTTTCATTGATGAATGCCTTCCCTGTGTTGCCTCAGATTATTTAGAGCAATGATATATTCATGATCCTAAACTGGGAAGAAGATGTGATATGACGCAAGCATTTCTCAAAAATGACATTAAAACACCACCGTCCATAACAATAACAAACATGAAGAGAGGAACAAAGGATATATGAAAACATTAGCACGTGCGACTTACCCGCGTGGTTGTCGAAGACGGACGGAACGTGTTGCGTGGGGTAGCGGTTTGTCGCATATCCCAATAACATACTCGTCTTTCCAATGGAATCATCTCCAACAACAACACATTTAATCCTTTTCTCGTTCCTTGCTTCTAGCACCATTTTAATCGTGCTCCGAGCACCTTGTTTTGTCGTCTGTCATAGGCTAGCTAGCCAGCACTCCTAAACAATGTCGCTCCTAGCGAGAGACTTATTTAATATACAAGCCTGGCTGTCGTCACGGTGCGCGAGGAAATCCCCCTTCCTTCGGTCTCGTGCTAAATTTAGCTGACGACACATCAGAGTGACTGTCATCACGCACGACTGTCCTTCCCGCCCTGTGTACCTTGTGTCGTCTGCTCGTTGTCGTCTGCTTGCGACTCTCGACTGACACACCCAGTGACCGCACGAGTATCTGAACCTGGCTTAAACTATCGCATCTCGTTGCTCTCCTTCCTACCAGAACGAGAGAACCGAGATGTGCTAATGCAAAATGAGGCTCTAGAAGGATGGGTCAGCTACCAGTCGAAATAATTCTTTCAAACGAAGTAACAAAATCCGCAAATGACATCGATATAGATCGACCTATTAAGTTATATTTTCACAATAATGTCCGACATACTTGAAATGACCTCAGAAAGAGAAGGATTATACAATGTAGTACGTATTTCAATAAATTTGGCAGGCATGATGTTTAGATTACCCCTCGTCATTCCTGGAGAAGCGCACGCAATGTCGAGCGCTCTTGCATAAGGTAAGATGAACATTTTAAGGTGCCTTATCAGTGTTGGTTGAAAGAGGAGGCTTCCTCATATCGGAAAGACATGTTTAGAAAAAACAGATCTCACTTACAAACAGCATGCTTATAAATAGACGATAGGGCTAAGTTTCAGCGTATGAAGCCTGGAATGTATTAAGCTGTGATGCACGCGGTAGTATTATTTGTAGGTAAATTCGATATTAATGATGTGTTTTAGTGAGAGCTATTCCGGATCCGAGAAATATTATTTTCTAAACGTTAGGAACAGCCATATTAACCAACAGTGTATCCTGCCTTTTTAAAATAGATTCGTCCAAAATGTCGGTCAATGGTTTACTGATAACGGCATGGTTTGTTCCAAAGCCCCAAAAATGAATCGTACCGATATGTTTGAAAGCAATTACAGATGCCCTTGACGTTTGTTTGTTGTTTGACGCTGCACTCAGCAATTTTCCAGCTATATGGCAGCGGTCTGTAAATAATCGGATCTGGACCAGACAATCCAGCGACGTAGTGAGCATCAATCTACGCAGTGTAGGATACGATGACATGTGTCAGCCAAGTCAGCGAGCCTGACCACCCGGTCCCGTTAGTCGCCTCTTACATGTATGGGTTGCTGAAGACCAATTCTAACCAGACCTTCATGGGTTCAGAATACCATTAAGGGTCACTGCCGTTAAGTAATGGCGAAAACATTTTATGGTTCCAAGAAACGGATTGATTGGCGAAAGATTAACCCTTGGCGTCAAAAAATACTTGAAGAACACATTTATCAGTTGGAAACCGCCCGATAGGCAATCTGCCAATGTTGAATAGACTATCAACGCTACACAACCTTCCGACACGACAGTTTCCTTTTCTTTAACGCAAAATACATTGATTAAAATATTTAATGTGTAGTGAGCGTCCTTAAATAATTAAGAATGCGTAATAAATGTTGAAACAATTCGTTTCTATGTTAAGGACGGAAAATCTTTAATCCTATTAAACTTAGTAAAACATTGTAAACACCTTTGCAACTCCCGTCAAATGTGTATGTGGTCTGTATCTGGCTTTGTGTAATCGACAAAATTTCTGTGGCTACTCTGATAAAAGACAGATAGTTCTTTCTTTGTGAAACATGTAACAGCTCTGAGATAAAACACGGTCATAAAATTGGTTAAAATGTACTCGAGTGATGGAAAACGCGGAAAGACGTCAATATTCGTCAATTGCCGTCTGCCCGGAAGTCAGCATGAGATATCACCCCAGTCTGCATCGTATGATCACCCAGTCGGGGATTGGCCAATATATTCAATTAATTACCTTTTCAGATCTTTTGTGTCAAAAATGAACGCATATATTAACCCTGAGGGAAATTTTACAAATATTGTTCACGTTATATGCGATTGGAAATTGGAAATATACTAGGCACATAAAGAAACTGTGCATACAAAAATTTAAAGTCTAAATTTATCAAACCTGTGTAGACACATAAGGATTGAAAGTCAGAGATTAGTGACATGTATCCAACATGCATGCACGTGCCACGTTCCGTGACGTCAGTAGGTTCGTCCTTGAGACGTGCAATATGTTGTTGCACGTGCATTCCGGGAAGGAGAAACAGAGCAAATGAATGCCACACAATACTGTCACTTTGGAAAGCTCAACCTCTGCCCTTGCGATCGTTCAAAAAATTAAACGGCTATTGAAACGCATAGCATGCCAAGGCTCACGTCTGCACAACGTCATGAGGCCATTGGGATGGTCCGTGGGGGAATGTCTCAACGACAAGTGGCTGCACATTTCCACTGCCACCGGAACACCATTTCTGCACTGGTAAGATGCTACCAGAACACAAATGACGTCATCGATCGGCCAGGTTTACCATTTCCCATAGTGATGGACGTCAACGTGCCTATAGACGCGTGGGAGAACGTTATGCACAGGCCAGTGTCTTGGAGAGGAATCGCTTTGGTGGTGGTTCCGTGATAATTTGGGGATTGTTCAGGGCAACTTAACTGGTGTGGGCTACAGGGATCAGATTTTTCGACCTGTGGCAATTCCTTTTCTGCAACGTCATGGCCCTGGGTTAACATTCCAACAGGACAATGCCCGCCCTCATACGGCAAGGGTTGCTATGGATTTCTTGCAACACCACAACGTTGACTTACTGCCTTGGCCTGCAAATTCACCGGATCTCTCCCCGATAGAGCATGTTTGGGACGAGATGGATCGACGTCTACGCCGTCTTCCTCATCCACCAGATAACGTCCTTGACCTTGCAACAGAACTTGAGAGAATCTGGCGTGACATCCCACAAGCCTTCCTTGCACGTTTGATAGGCTCTATGCGTCGTCGATGCACTGCTGTTCTCAATGCCGATGGTGGACATACCCGTTATTGAGCTTGTGACATGGTCGTTTGACCCCTGTCCCGCTTGTGGACTCGTGACGTCATTGTGATTGACTTTTCAATTGAAATTCTCCCGACTTGTTATGGTCTCATGATCCCTCCATTAAAGTTTATATGTACCTTTGACATTGTTATCGTACTTATCAACTGGGATAATATTTTGACAATGTACAGTTTCTTTATGTGGCTAGTATATTACAGACTAACTACTGACTGACTGACTGAGTTTGGTTTTACGCCGCTTTTAGCAATATTCCAGCCACATCACGGCGGGGGAACACCAGAAATGGGCTTCACACATTGTACCCATGTAGGGATTCGAACCCGGGTCCTCGGCGTGACGAGCCAACGCTTTAACCACTAGGCTACCCCACCGCCCCTACAGACTAACTAACCACGATAGACCATCTTAAAACAGTCAAGGGTTGCAGCGATGACCAGTATCGGAAATAATCCAAGACCAGTATCGGTTATTGTGCTGGTCAGATAGGGTTAAGCTAACAGATCCAAGGCGCAATACATCTGTGTGTATCTACAGCTGTTATTATTGATTGTAAGCATTCAGTTGTTGACTGATGACATAAATTAATCTGTAGCTGTCTAATAAACTGATTGTTTATTCACTCTGTTGTGTTGGTTGGTAGTGGAGTTAATCACCCAGTTCCATTTTTGATATATATGTTGAAAAGTAGATTGTGAACAGCTGTGAGGAAGTGAAAGGTTCATAAGGGGACGGGGCTGTAGGATTTACTACATCACTTCAAATACATCCTTGACCAATCTCAAGAGTCTGCACCATGCCAGATCTGCAATATACCTAAACAAAACCAGACCTTATACAACCACGTTTTCAACAGAATATTTAACGCAAGGTAGGTATAACTCGGTCTGTATTTCATTCTCTGTACCATATATAACATGTGAGTGAGGACAATTTACGCCGCTTTTGACAATGGTCACACATTGTACCCATGTGAGGAATCAAACCAGGGTCTTCGGCGTGACGAGCGAATCCTTTATCCACTAGTCCTGCATTTATGCATGTACAACTGACACTATGTATAGAGTCGACAGCATTGTCAGTAGAAACATTCACTCCTGCTAGAACAATCACGTTAAAATGATCAGGTCGGGTCATATATTTTCTTTAGGTTTTACCGATCGCACCACTGTAACCAAATGGTGAAATGGCAAAAACAAAACCCAACTTCACTTTATATAGTCTGTCTGGTGTATGGTATTGACAGGACACGTGACATCTGGCCTTGAAGTACGACGAGAACTACATCGCTGTACTCTACGACGCTGCATACGACGATCTTTATGATTTTGTCCTTGTCTAAAACAAAGGAAACCTGCTAAATAAATTTAGAAGACATGCGTACTGGTGTTGACGTTATTCTCGGGGCAGGCGTACAAGTAGCGTTGTGTTATTTGTGGCGCTTAAACAAATGTATATAAAAACACATCCTTGTTCTCCAAGGTTAAGTAATCTTTACTGCATCATGACACTACTTACACCACATGTCTGTCTGCACCATGACACTACTACACCACATGTCTGTCTACTGCATCATGACACTACCACATGTTTGTCTACTGCTGTGCCATGACACTATTACACCACATGTCGGCTGTATTATAACACTATTTGACACATGTACTTTTGCATCTGACACTATGTCGTTACTACTGCCATGTATTACACCATCTGTCTGTATACTGTATTATGAACCTATTACACCACATGTCTGTACTGTACCATGACACTACTACACCACATGTCTGTCTACTGCACCGCTGACGCTCTTACACCACATGTCTGCATCATGCTGTACTACATGACGCTACTACATGTCATGTCTACTGTATTCTATCACACCACATGTCTGTCTACTTTTCCTTGACACCTTCACACCACATGTCTGTCTACTGTCTACATGACACTATTACACCACATGTCTGTCTACTGTTGCCATGTCTGTTTTTGTCTGTCTATGTCACTATTACATTTCCATGTCTGTCTACTGCACCATGACACTATTACGCCACATGTCTGTCCTGCACCATGACACTATTACACCTGTGTCTTGTCTGCTGCATCATGACACCTTACGCACATGTCTGTCTACTGTATCATGACACTATTACACCACATGTCTGTCTGCTGTACTATGACACTATACACCACATTTGTCTACTGTATCATGTCATCACTGCACCATGGCACTACTACGCCACATGTCTGTCTACTGTATTATAACTGTTTCACACATGCCTGTGCACCATGACACTATTACACCACATGTCTGTC